AAAAAGTTCCAGTAATGAATTTGAATTACTGAAACTATAATAATTACAATAATAATATTTATTGTAATTGCACTTATCCAAAAAAAAGTTTTTGAATAAATAATTTTAACGATGAATTAGTGAATATAAGAGTTGTATTCACCAAGAGAGAGGTTTGTTAAAAACAAACCTAAGAGACAAAAAACAATAGCAACAAGAAAAATAATTTTTGAAACCATGTTTAAAAAGATAATTGATAAAAATTCAAAGAAGTTAAGGTAGTTTTGATTTTAAGATTTTAAAATGAATAAATCGTAAAGATTCTAGTTTCATTTCAAGTTCTTTTATCATTAAAAAAATCTATTAGATTATTTTTAGTCTAATTGAACATGTACAAAAATTTTTTTCGATAAAAAAATATACTTGCATTATCAGATAATCTGTTTACTTTATTTATTTGTAATATAATAATTTATAACAATTTATACATAAAATTTAAATATATTTATTATTCATAATATTTTAATATAATTCTGGAGTAGAAACATTTTCATTATTATTAACTCATGATTGTAAATCACTGATAATTTATTCTAAATTATTAATATTTTCTTGCATAAGTTCTATCTCACATTTATATGTTTTTTCTCGTTCTTCTTTTTCACGTTTATGAATCTTATCTTTTTCTTTCAATCTTTTACCATATTCATACTCATGTTTTTTGTTTGTAGTTTCAATTTGTTTAATTTCTTTTTCATGTTTCTTGATCATAGATATCAAATTTGCAATTTTATTAGTTTTCACAATAATCAATTCTTTGTAAAGACTAACTTCATTGACATGACTTTTTTTTTAAAAACTAACTTCATTAGCATAGGTTTCTTTCATAAAACTAATTTTATTAACATGATTTTCTTTCATAAGACCAATTTCATTAGCATGGTTTTCTTTTAAAAGACAAACTTCATTAGCATAGTTTTCTTTCTGTTCTTTAAGAGATGCCGTTAATTGATTAATTTTTACCAAGAGTTGATTCTTTGTCAATCTACTTTCAAACATAATTTTTGACAAAGAATCAAGTATAATTTTGTATAATTTTAACATTTTAATACGTATTAAATTTTATATGATAAATACTTATCTTTGTATCATGAATTCTTTGTGTTTTTATAATTAATAAGGTTATATGAATTCTATTTTTAGCTATAAAATATATTTCAAATTTAGAATTAATCATCTATGGCTGAAACAACATGATATGCAAATCTTATGATAAGCTGCAGGCTTTAATTATTTATATAAAATGAACAATACGAATATAGTTTGATTCAAATTTGTCAGACAAATCTATAAAAATTCAGGTTTTTTCGTTCAACAAATATCAAATTTTGTAAAAAAATTCTCAAATTCTTTTGAAAAATCTTAAATGTTTTTTGTCATACTTTACTTAATCATCTTTATTACAATTACTATGCAGTACTTTTTGGAAAATGTTGAAAGGTTATTACAAATATTCAGTAGATCTAGCAGTATGCGAGTTGAAAATTCCTCTGTTAGTTCTAATGTTGAATGTTTTACAGATGAAGAACTACCTCCAAGTTATTTTGAAGCCATTTCACAAACTCAAAATAATATAAGAACAGGTATAAATTTGATAATGATTCAAAATTTTTCTTCAAGTTTCAAAGTAAACTTTTAACTAAATATTAAAATTTATTCAAAAATGTCTACTGAAATTTCTGAAAATATTATCTCTTTAGAAAATAATATCTCTAATTCGGAAACTGAACAAGAAGAAATATCTATTAATTCTAATAGATTAAGTGATTATATTGCTCAAAATATATTACTTCATGATCGAATTAAAAAATTAGAAGAAACAATTAGTATTTTATATAGGCTAGGTGCTGAGAAAAGGGACGAAATTGACAATTTTTTCAAAAGCTATTTTTTTATATAAATCAATTTAAAATAAGATTAGAATCATTTTTTACTTAAGACTCAAAAGTAGTTGTATTAATAAAATTTTGCAATATAGCTCCTTAAAGTTTGCATTTTCTTATGATTTATTATAAGATTTACAACATAAAA